TCATGGCAGGTCCTCTCTGTACTTGTCTTCCCTCTCTCTTGCTTTCTGGGCCCCACCTGCCTAATGTAATGGAGCTTGTATGGGGGTTGCTGTACTCTCTGTGCTTAGTGTTTCATTTATCTGTCAGCTCTCCAACACCCCCACCATCACCACTGCTGCTTACCTGACAAATGAATACTCATGTGCATATAATTTATCGTATATTTTATAGATTTTTCATGAATGAATCTTTTAATTAAACAAATCATTCCTGCTCTATTTAACGACTACTTTTTATTTTTTTATTAATATATATATATTTTTACATTCGCTGAAATCTGCCTTTTTTTGAGGCATAAAACTGCTTTCCTGCCTATTGGATACCACTATATAACTATAGTGCAAACCAATAGCATCTGAGTACAGGCTGTAAAGAAGCAACACCATTGGTTGGATCTATTGAATGAACACACCCCCTTTACTTAAGTCATTAGTTGTGCACCAAATGAAATACATTATGTATACTGTCTAGTTAAGCGTGTGACGTGATCAACATTCCAAATTTGTATTTTTGATTAAACAAGTACATTGTTGGACACTTTGAAGTGCAATTTTTCTTGTTGGAATTTTAAGTGTGAACATGCTACCTGCACCATTTATACGACAAAACAGTACTGAATAGTGCATAAGTACGAAAATTGAAACACACATATGGTAGGGCTGCACGATATTGGAAAAAACTCACAGTGCGATATTTTATTTTCTGCGATATGAAAAAAAAAATCACCACATGACTTGAATAGTTTATTTGGGGGGGGGGGGAATAATCAATGATTGAGGTGATTTTGTAGGCGAGTAAATCAGCATAGGAAATAAACAAATTACAAGCATAGATAAATATAACAGAAAAAGAGATACAAATGAAATAAGCAGTGCTTTATATTTTTCAGGTAAGTCTAACAGTATTCAGGTACAGAAATGTAATAATCAAATGTAAAATAACACTACATAGTCTTCACTGTATAAATTAAATCTAAATAAATCTGTGTTAAAGCTACAAAAGTGATTTTTCTTTGTGTTTTGTTGTTTGATTAACATTCATAACACAGAAAGCCTCAGGAACATTAAACTGCTGTAAACCAATATACTGTTACACACCCATTTTCTTTCTCAATTGTTTCCCTTGAACTAAGCCATAAGCAACTGTGTTTACAAGGATACTTGCAGGGCACAGTATTTCAGGCACAAACAGAAGCAGAAGTGAACAGAATTCAGTGTTCACGTACACTGGACGCGACGTGACAAAATACAATGAATCCATTATAATCAGTGATGCTCTGTCTACACTGGATGCAATAGTTGCAGCTGGATATATCTCACTGGATGCGGCGCGGCACACAAATCCCCGACAGTAAACTGATGACATACTGACACAAAGTTCAAATAATTGGCAACGGTTGCTTTGTCGCATCCAGTGTAGAAAGACTTTTGGGCCATTCACATGTTGCGCCTAAAAACACGTGGAAAACGCCAGTCGTGCCGCTTTCTCCTTCTTTCCAAAGCGCTCGGGAGCTTGCGCTTTCGTGGCGTCTGCTGTTGCTAAGCAACCGTGACCTGCGCTCTCCACGCGCGGGCGGAAGTTTCAACAAAGGATAAATGGATTTCCAGCACTGAAATCGAGTGCAGTAGCTCTGCTACTAAATGTATTTAAAATGGGTATGTACAGCTGTCGCATTCGGTGTAGACACTGTGTCTGTGAGTGAGCAAAAAAAAAAAAAACAATCAGTATAAATATAACGATCAGTATCCTATACTAAACATCGCACATCTTGCGATGTGACTATCGCGGATCCGCACATCGCAATATCGATGCTGAAACGATATATCGTGCAGTCCTAACATACGGTTTTGAACTTTGAACAAGACATTTCATTTCCGTTTATAATTAAATAAACTGGAGTATTCATGAACAAAAAACAACCAAATTAACTAGGAATTTTCATTTGTGATCACATCAAAGTAATTGGGACATTGTCTTTCTTTATTTTTTTAATCTGATGAAGTAATTGCCACGTTTAAGTAGTAATGCATTTTGGTGACTGTTTCATAAATATGGTGTATTATTCAGCCAATTTACTTATCTGAAATACTTTTTGCATACTATGTAGTAGACAAGCGTGGACTCAATTCTCGCCACCTACTGGCGGAACGAAGTAACCTGCAGGAAGAGTCAATGAACAAACCTTTGGTGAAAGGATTAAAAAGATTCGAATCACTGAGTACATTTACATGGACAACAATACTCTGATTTTAATACGATTAAGACAATACTCTGATTAAGAATCTACCATGTAAACAGAGATTTTTGATTACCTTAATCCGGCTAAAGTCATAATCTAAGTAAACACTAATCGAATTAAGACATGTGGAGCAGGCCCGTAACCAGCTATGAGGCCACCGAGGTCCGGACCTCGGTAAATTTTTCATGTTCAAAAATAAAATTTGTTCTTTGAATGACTAATTTGCTGTTAAACTCCTCGTATGAATGCCTGCATGACATGTATAATTCAGTTTAGACAGTTTGCAAGAATGTTTAGCGTCCCTGGTATGAAAATTATCGCTGCGAGACGCTGGAGGTATGAACGAGGCTTGAGAGAGTTGTGAGTGAGGGCGCGGGCGCAGCTGATCCAGCTATTATAAGCATTTTTGGACTTGTCTTTTCCACTTAATTTAACACTTTAGAAAGTTAATAAAGTAGGAAGTTGCAGTTTACAGTCAGCGATATCTTTATTTTATCTTATTTGCAAAAGATTGGAAATAATTTCGGTTTATTTTTATTTATTTTTAGTTTTTTGTTTGTTTTAGTATCAATATCTGGCAACACTGCATCGCCGGCACTTACAGTAAACTGAAAGCAATCAAAAAAGCCCATGGACAGGTTTTTGCTGACAGGATGACATTCGGTAAGGGAAACGCAAAAATTATCATGATATTATCGCCTTAAATATAGTAAAGTATTAACAAATTTTGATGCAATAAATAGGATATGATTTTAAATAAATCATCCCTCCAAAACAGAGAAAATATCTTTCATAAACATCTACATGTCTGTCTCCTTTAAAGTGTTTATAGTGTATATAATAAGTTGTATTTGTAGGGGTTATTATAACACAATTATTTAACACCAACCCCCATCATCCTCCCCACCCCGGACCTCTCTAATTTTCAAAGCCTGGGTACGGCCATGATGTGGAGTATTCCTATTTTAGTCGCATTATTGAAGTGCAGTAAAGACATGTAACTTACACACTTTAATCACATTATTACCGTCGTGTAGGACTTTTCGCAACATTTTGCGACAGGATACACACAGGCAGTGGTCAACTTTTGACGGCAAACAAAAGAATGGCTTTTCTAATTCCTAGTGATATTAGAATGATATCTTAGTTTTACCGGCAATATAGTTTGTGATTGCATTTCCTAAAGATATGTCCAGACGTGCAGTCTACCAATAACATTAGACCGACAGCAGTAGGAACGCCCACAAGCGTCTTCACAGCACAGAGTCTAGCGACATACAGCGAAAAAGTCGCTGGCAGTGTGAACTGGGCTTTATACGTGAAATTCTGGAGGGGACGTCGGATGGCGTCGCGTGGTGACGTAATGACGTATGCCATTAATCTATCTATGTACTATAACATGTAAATCGGGAACATGAAAGGAATATTCTAAAAGCAACTCATGTAAACACCTTAATTGTAATATTGTCTTATTCAGAATAAGGTAAATAATTAGATTACTGATGTCCATGTAAACTTAGTGAGATGAAACAAATTTGCGTGTGTAGGCCATATGTATTCTCGGCTTGGACATGAACATACACTAATATGTACAAACTGCCAAAACACATGAGGAAAGCATCAGTCTTCCTGACCTCTACTCGACATCCCACTGTTCTTACAGCACGCAAATCAAAAATAAACACCTGATTTTTAGGCCAAGGCAAAAACAAGACTTTCCATTTCTAATATAAGCCTAAATATGAGCCATGTAAGGTTAGGCGTATGTTTCAAGACATCAAACGCGTTTAATTGTGCCTGTCACCGTGTGTGAACGCACCTCGCATCTCTTAATAGCGGCTGTCAACATTAATAGCCACTGCTTGAAATACATATTCTATTCGCGTCCGCGTCCGACAGTAACGTTAGTGCAGGTCAGGACTCATACTGCGTCAAAAAAGCTACACGTTACGATCCAGACATCCAAATTTAACACGGAATATCTGACAGGCGAACATGAGCTTCATAACCGAAGCCCTTAACATAGTCCCACACCGGAATGAGTCTTGCTTACTTATTCGTCAGAAACGTGCGAAAAAACGCTTTCAAGTTTAAGCACGAAGAAAACTGCAAAACTTTCTATAAGAATGACACTATTTAGACCCTGGCTTGTAACTGACCCAAATTCCCTCAAAGTCTGCGGTATTGTTCACAGAGAAAGCGACTTTTCCTGTTTGAAAACTCACTATATTCTTGGGAACGTCTAGTGTACGTGGCGAGGAATTTAATTCGGTTTGACATTTCAGAGCTCGCGCGCAACATATAAAGTGCAAATCGAGCTTAAATTATGTAAACGTAAACTTTATTTCGCTACATAGTGCGATGCTGCTGACACAGAAAGCCTCAATCAAGAGGGAATCTCTGGTAAAGCCCCCTAAAAATCAGAACATACTCGATGATATTTTAGTTACCGCTCTGCTACTAAACATCTGCCGTTTGGAAAGGCCCGGATAAGTTAACTCTCGCATCTCTACGACGCTATCATTCCGACATCAGCCACAAAATAGCTCGACTAAAATCGCCGCAGTTCGGCTTATCGAGCTCCTCCGCTGCAGCGAACAGGAGGGGGAGGAGGGTGGCATAGTTGCCGCAGTTTGGAGTTGTGTCTAGGGGGCAAGATTCCACCATTCAGCTCCCCTTCCACTAAACTAGCTTAATAGCCCCGCTTCGTTTTTCTCTTACCTTGAGCACCGGGAGAAGAACGGTGACACTTTTTCGGAGGTAGCTCTCTGGAAGGGCAAAGTACTCAGTCGCGTTTTACTTTTTGAGGATGAATAGAGCAGCTTTCAGCAGGGTCCTCGCTAGTTCCTTCTCTCACCCCCCTCCCTTGCGCCGCAAGATCAAACCATCACATTCCTTCGAGATCCAAACAATGAAAAAGGTGGGTTTTCCTTTGCCAAGAAAGACCCACCCCTAGAACGACTACGCCGCCTGTGACCGCAGAAAGAACGCCCTGCCCGGCTAATACAGTCACGCCTTCCCCGATGAGAGGGAAAGAACGACGGATCAGACAAGCGCTGAGCTCTAGAGGAAGCTTGGGGAATAACGGAAACACAGTTCACAAGTAGAGCTGGACTTTTTTTAGCACTAAAATTTATAAGGGTGTTAGAACATTTTTAAAAATGTAAATAAACACACAAATAAATGTAAAAAGTAAACACAAAATGTAAATAGAAAACAACATGACAACGGCAATATTGTCTGTAGGCTATTGAATAAATGTGTGACGTCACTGCACAAGGTGAGCAATATCCATTCCACTGTCAGGCAAATTTGAATTGTAAAGAACAACATATTATACATTTGTTTATTTTGTTAGGAAAATTCCATATACATAAGAAGAAGTGGGCTCAATGTAAACCAAATTTTGCACATTTTATAAATGACTTTAAATTATATGTAAATATCTTAGAACAAACAAAAAGCATTGAAAACATGTAATGCTCTGAAAGCATTGAACTTCGTGTAATTTTCTTCCTTTTTTTCTTTTTTTTTTCTCTGCCAGCTAATAATGTTAATTTGATAATGTGAATATGTAATACCTCATGTTCTTGTGGCATTGAATTAATAAAGCATTTTTAAAAAATCCACTGTCAGGCAATAAAAACATTTAAGCAATTTCTTGTAGCATACAAATAGTTTATATGAAATTATTTCTCACTAACAAATTGAAATTATATTTAATAAAATTATAATTATATTAATTAGTGCACCATGCCAGAAAAGGATATTAACATTAACACCCAGACATAGTGACGACAACAACAACAATTGTTACCTTTAACTTTACTAGTTATTTAAAGACATATCTCCATTATTGTCTGTTTCTGTGTAAAAATCATGTTGTATGTATATTGTGCTTGCAAAAAAAAAAAGGTTACCCAAAGGCAACAGTGCAGTAGAGGGTTAAATTAAACATGTTTCCATTAACATATATAGAATGGCGTGATATTAGGTGTTTCACTTAAACACTTTTATAAAAATAGTGGTCAGAAATAGTTCAAGCACTGCTGAAAAGGCAGCAGTCCAATAGAAAGTTTACTTCCTTGGGTTTCCAAAGCAGGATATGAACCAGCATCTGATTGCTGGTTTACAGCCTCAGCCCACAAGCTACCACCAAAATCACAAACACCCTTATATTTTTAGGACCCACGCTGTTTTAGGTTGCATTCTTTTTACTCTTCATTAGAGTAATTTCAAAGCAATGCATTGCGGTGTCTCATTAGAAAAACAACTCTCTCGCTCCACTTTTTTTGCTAGATGTTGAGATGAAAGAACGGGTGACAGTGTTATTTTCTATGGTGAATTCAGTGCAAAAATTTATATCCACTTCCAAATGCACACAGTCCTGCTTTTGGTCCAAAAAGAATGGAAAACATTTAATTCTGAGAGCAACAGTATGTTAGTGTAGTGGCCAAGTTTCATTCTAGTTCTGCAATTTACTATTTAAGCACTCAGTGAACTCAGTGAACCAGGCATACATTTAGCATTATTACAACATGAAAAGTGTATAAAAAGTAAAAGCTGCCCACCATGGGGCCAACACCCCTAGACTGTATTCCACAACCAGACCTAGACTCTTCTAAGCTGGTGTTTACAAGTCCATGTACTGTATGGACTGATAACTATATAATAAATATGTTTTGTTTTGTTCAACCTATTGAAATAAGATAAGAGTGACTCCAATCATGTCAAATGTTTATGTATCAAGTCAGTAGACATCAATGAACCAGCCTCACTTCATCACAGTCCAAGCTTCATATACACTCTGTTCATGGCAGTTAAAATCACTCTTTCTCCAGTGGCAGTGATCCTGAATAAGTACATGGCAGAAATAAAATTCTAAAAACAGCCTAGTGGCCTTCGAGTGGTTGAAGTGTAACCAACCAATAGTTACACCTGCCGTAGTCAAGGATAATCTTCACCATATGACTTTGATCTGCCTGTTTTAGGAGAATTATGCTGTATTATATTAGCCTCTGTAATTGCCATATAACAGCATTTATATATCTATATTCATGTTGCAAGTATCAAACATTAGATTAGCAGGGATGCCATATAGGATACAGCAATACTCACTACAGAAAGGTTTGGACAAAGTTTGAAATAAATTACTAGCAAAATATGTATATGTGACCCTGGACCACAAAACCAGTCTTAAGTCGCTTGGGTATATTTTTAGCATTAGCCAAAAAAAAATTATCGATTTTTCTTTTATGCCAAAAATCATTAGGATATTAAGTAAAGATCATGTTCCATGAAGATATTTTGTAAATTTCTTACCGTAAATATATCAAAACTTAATTTCTGATTAGTAATATGCATTTCTAAGAACTTCATTTGGACAACTTTAAAGGCGATTTTCTCAGTATTTAGATTTTTTTTTTGTACCCTCCGATTCCTGACTGGTTTTGTGGTCCAGGCTCATATATATCAAGATAATATAGCAAGGTATTTTGTTTTAACTTTTTTTTTTTTAATCTGCACATCTGAACACCTGTAAAGAGTTTGAATGTCAGGGGATAAAGCACAAGTGGCTTTCAGATCTTTCACTCCTACACAAGCTGTCATCAGCTAAATCAAAACAAAGTCCTCCACTCTTTAATTATTTTTGTATAAGGCCACTGCATGTCACAGCAGGAAAAGCTGTAGGTGGGGAGAACATCACAAGCTCACACTTTGGTGAACAGTGAGCTAAATATGGGAAAATATGCTCTTACATAACATACTAGACACTTTGCCATATGACCACCCCAGTTATTTAGGTTATTGCCTTGCACAGAAGAATATACACAGTTAATATGTTTTATGCGTTGCTTGCAAGGTGGAATTACTTTGTATAAATAAAATGAAAGACGTATGGAGATCACAAACAAAATAGCTATTCGTTCAATTTTTTTCATTGCATTCATTTGTATCCCAAAAAATCTGTTCAATCATTCTAATGTTAAATTATTTAAAAGAACAGCCTCAGCCATGTAAAATGCATGATACAAAAGCAAGGCATGCTGGGACATGCCCCGGTATCAGTGTGTCACAACACCACAGAGAAGTTTTGAGTATTCTTGCTGTTCTGTCTCTTTATCTCTTTCTCTTGCGCTGGTATATTTTTCATTCTCTCTCACATTCAAATGCGGGCTTGCAGATGTTAGGAGAAGAGATTTATATTGAGTGAAATGTAATCATGCTTTATCGCCTTTTTTCAGATAAGGAGGATACATCTATTTTAAAAGTTTTGGCCAATACAGATAAAATAACTCGTGAATAAAACTTCACACTCTTTTGTCTAAATACTCTAGCATATTCAAGCATGTCTAGTTTCAGAGACAGAGCAAGTTATCACATTTTGATAAAAAGGACAGATTTTTTTTTTTTTTTTTTACTTAGATACTTATACAAGCTGTTTTATCTTAAGTGCAGAATCATCCATAATATCATCCATAGTATTAAGACTCTCAGCAAATTAGAATCTAGAGTGAGACCAGACATAAGACGGATCGTCATGTCTTTCTCACTATTGTCAACGGTGCGGTCCCGAGATGTAAGGAAAGCGTGTTGTTATTATGTCATCTAAATGTGAGGGGATGTATGCAGTGAAAGGTTTTTCAGCTTCTTTTGGAATGTGGCTCACAATTTCCACAATATCGCATGAAGCCTTTGGGCTGCAGGCCAACATTCCCCAAAGAGCACCTGTGCTTTTGCCCCATCTCTTCCCCAGATTCCATCTGCAGGACCGAATGATTGAAGGTTTAAGAAATGCAATGAAAATAATGGTGTGTTGCCCAGACAGAGTGCATTTTAAAAGTATTCACTAAAAGTGACATAGCTCCGGAGTTATGTGAAATTCCAACTTTTATTACCAACAACACGATTGTGAGTGCGTTGTTCAATACAGAATGTAGTTAATACTGAGTAACCTACATTAACTTATTGAATCAACATTGAGTTTGAGCCTTCTGTAAAGCTGCTTATAGCTGAATTGAGCTTGTTTCATAATTGGTCAACTTTGCAATAAGTTAATGAACTAAATTGAAACAACTATATTGAGCTGAATAATGACATGTCTTCTGTAGAGTTGCTTTACAGCTGAAAATGAATTTGTTTCACAATTGTCAAATTTTATAACACAGTTTTTATTGTCTTGTTATTTATGTGATGCTGCTTTGAAATAATCTTTACTGTATAAAGAGCTACATAAATAAATGTGACTTGTCATTTTAGACACACTATACTCTTAAAAATAAAGGTGCTTCATGATGCCATAGAAGAACCTTTTTGTCTAAATGGTTCCATAAAGAACCTTTAACATCTGAAGAACCTTTCTGTTTCACAAAAGGTTCTTTGTGGCGAAAGAAGGTTCTTCAGATTACAAAAAGGTAAGAAAGAGATGGTTCTTTAAAGAACCTTTGACTGAATGGTTCTTTGTGGAACCAAAAATGGTTCTTCTATGGCATCGCTTGAAGAACGTTTTGAAGCACCATTATTTTTAAGAGTGTATTGCCAGTTATTTCTGTGATCAGAAATGGTTCCATACGAAGCCACAGCAGAATAAAGTTTAAGCGTCTCCGAGCCACATGCAGTACTGGTTTAATTCCAGAAAGAATCAGTGTTTTTGAGTGAATCTGTTCAGAGAATGATTCAGTGACTCACATATAAAGACTAACTAGCTTGTAACACTATAACCTGCCATTGGACTGTATATCAGCAGTGTTAAAACAATGACCAGAACAAACAAACAGGCAGCTGTGAATTATGATTATGAACTTCATAGGAAACAATGCCATCTAGAGAACTTTGCGTGCAGGCCTACATTTAGTCAAAAAGACACGAAGACCCCCTTTCGTTATCCCGATTCTGTGCCACCCAAGTGTAAAGTCCTGAACATTTAAAAAAAAATAATCTCAGAGACCATAAAAACCACAGTGAGAATGTTTCATAAAGATGGCTCATAGATAAGAGCGTAGAGTGTGTTTTTATTGTGCCCTGTGGTTTGTTCTGCTCCATCAATATGTTTCTCATCTCTGTTGCAGGCAGTGTTACCAACCAT